TTTAACCCCCCCCCCCCCCATTGGTCCCGGTAACTATCACCACTGAAAGGGGAAGAAAATCCCAAATTTTGAGTTGTCATCAGAACATGAATAGATAGGAACTTTTCCAATGGGCTCTGGTGACCCTGCTGACCACCAGGGATTTCCCTCCCTCCCCCACTGGTGTGGCTAACAGACAGGAAGTGAAATCTCCCTAGCTGGAGGCAGATGTAAAAAAAAAAAAGTGTTTTAGTTCTACTTTAACAACGATGCAGGTTATGTTTCAAAGTAGTGGGATCCATCATAAAAAGAAAAACATTTTGGGTAAAAGCGCAGAAAAATGGAGCATTCTAAGTGCTGACTTGCAGCGTTTTTCCTTTCCATATTTGATTTTTGAATTGACTTGCTATGTGCCCCTGAACTTGCAAATTTGACTTCTACAGGAAGAGTCAGTTCCTTAGCACAGCCCCCTCCCTCCTTGTACATCACAACCCACCTCCACTTCTAATGGCTAGGACATAAGTCTTGTAGCTCTTTGGGTCAGTGGTTCAAATCCCATTCAGGTCACTATCTGCATGGAGTTTGCATGTTCTCCCAGTGCTTGTGTGGGTTTCCTCAAAGGGATGCTGGAAGGTTAATTGGCTCCTGTCTAAATTGGTCCTGTAGGCATGCATGCGAGATAGGGACCCTAGATTGAAAGGGCAGGGACTGATGCGAATGTGCACTATGTCAAGCGCTGTGCATATTGTCAGCGCTATATAAATACCTGGAATAAATAATTATTGGTGCTGGCCCAGCTCCTATTCCTTCCCCTTCTTCTACATAACCTTTTATGTAGCTGCCATCAGAGGAGTGAAGAGGAATCATTTAGCCCTCCAGCTGTTGAGAAACTTCAAGTACCATAGGACATTGCAAGACTCTTCCCCCCCCCCCCACAGGCAGATGCATGCTGGGATTTGTAGTTTGACCACAGCTGGGGGACCAACAGTTTAGCTTCCCTGCTATAAAAGTGACAGATCAGAGGCTGCTGACATCACATCCAAGATGGCGGCACCCAGCAGCTGTTTCTGGACTTTTATATCAGTACACAGGGGAGGTTTTCACCACAGGTAAATAACACGCGTTGTATGTGTTCAATTATAAGTGTTTTGGCTGGAGATGCACTTTAATAAATATCACAGGTAATGAGTCTGAGATACAAATATATATTACAGGAGAATTGCTCATTACTGGAGCCCTTAGTCAAGGAGAGACCCTCACAACATGGACTGCAACCCAATGCAGACCTGGGCCCAAAGATGACCTGTCCCCGCCCCGCACGCAGGGATCTGCTATGCCGGTCATGCCTTCCTTCCCCCCCCCCGTCCGTCAAGTCCCCCCGCCTTCCTTCCCCCTCACTCACTGGCGGACTCCAGGCTGCTTCCTCACCGCAGACCCGAATAGACGACCTCCGGCCTTCAGAGCTACTCCGAGCCGGACCAGCGACGCCATGACACCGGATCAATGTCACCTTCCGCTCGAGTTCGCTGATTGGACGACACTTCCCCGCGGGCGAATCCATTATCACATATGGGGAGATTATTTCATTTCCACAGCAAAATAAGGGCATTAAAAACACCGTTTGCAGCCGCATAATCTTCCAGCAACACGTTATCATTAAAACATATTTACTGCCTTGTCACTTCATTATTATTATTATTATTATTAATATAAACACATTTCACTCCTCCGCCAAAAACAATTGTAGGTTTAAATTCATAAAAGCACCTTAATCCCATTATTTAATCAAAAATAACATTGAATGAATACACGACTACATTCATTTCTCTGCGGAAATTTTAAAAAACGCAGCTTTGAGAATGAAGTGACAGCCCTCTAGTTTGGATGGTAGGGCCAGTTGCCATGGTTTCCAGAAACGCAGAATACGACTACACAGCGCATGTGTAGGATTCTACTACCTAGCACGATGTAGGGGAGGTTATATCATGTTTTCTTCGAATTATCTGTATTGCAATTTATTTTAACAACTACAGCATCCCCTAAAATAGAATAACATTTGAGCCAATTTATTACGACATTTTATTTAGTGAGTGGCACACTGGTTAGATTAATAGGAAAGGAAAGCAGATAACTGTTAATGTGATACCTAGCTTTATCTATAAAGTTGAAAAATAAACAAGCTAAGGTATAAATTAGATAGGTATCTGTGCGCGAAAATGGCAAAAACTAGCACTTTGTATAAATAGGTGGCACCCCTATGGTTTGGATGGTAGAGCCAGTTACCATGGTTTCCATGTACACAGTGCCCAATACGAAGAACACGTGGGTCCTAGCGCCGGGCACGTCCATCTAGCTGCAGGTGAGTGAGCAGCTCTGGTACAAATTGTATGTAATAGAGGAAACAAACTACAAAGTCATTTCTTATTACTGTCTGGCTGTAAAGGAAACAATGGGGAGTACCGGGGACACAACCAGGGACATGTGATATAAATCACTGGCATTTGCCATATTGAGTATCATTTGTGTCTTCATTCATGAACAAGCAACAGGGGAAGGTGGCAGACCTGACTTAAAGGGGACCTGTCATGAGAGAAATACTTAAAGTGGACCGTTCAGTGACTCTGCAAGTTTCTTGAATATATTCCAAACATGTCACAATAGGAAGATACAGTGTAATTTCCAGAAAACTTGTACCCTATTTCAAGAAAAAAGCCATCACCGAGCTCCAGTTCAGTGACTATGCCTTGCCTGAGAAGAAGTGCTCAGACAGCAAGATTTACATGAATGCTCCATCTCAGTCTAGGAAGTATACGGTGCCCCTGGATAATGCCGCCTGAGCAAAGATGGCTTGTCCTTCTGGAGAGAAAAGCAGATGAAGGCATTGTCATGGGGAGGACTGTGATCGAAGTGTTACACATTAGTACATGCAGGGATCTCAAGTCTCCCTGATGTTCAGGGAGTCTCCCTCTATTAGATAGTGGCTCCCTGAAGTCCGCGAGAGAGGCATTTTCTCCCTGAAAGGTTTACTCTGAGTAAACCTTTCCGGTAAGATATCAGTGGGTAAAGTTTCAGAGTGAGGCTTGCCTCCTGGAGGAAGGTCATGTGATCTCTAGAGTAGCCTCAGAACGAGGCTTGCCTCCTGGAGGAAGAAGAACTTGCTGCACAGAGAGGGCGGACATAGACTACTATTGAGAGCAGGTACAGGCACTGAGATCTACTGCTGCAGGGTTGAGAGAGTGCTGTTAACCCTTTGTGGATAATATAGAATCAATTATATGTCCTGGTTGTCTAGTTATAGAGAACATTTATTTCATTTGCTGCCCATAGCAACTAGTCAACTGTGTATCAGGGACTTTACTCCTCAGCGTTTTTTTAAAAAGGTCTTGGGCTGTCTAATAAATTGTGACCTTTACACTGACAGATACTTGAACATCAATTCACAAATCTGATGTATATATAAATAAATATATAATATTATTGTATTATTGGTATATGGATTTTATTTTACAGTGTATGTGTGTGTCTGTGTATGTATGTGTATATATATATATATATCATAATTATTTCTTTTATACTCTGACGATGGCCGCTGTAAAACAAAAAACAGAAAGGGCACCTCCCTGAAATGAGACGGAAACCTCCCTGAAATAAGGTTTTGCAGGTTGGGATGTCTGAATACATTGCATTTTCTTTATTAAGTGTATATGTGGGGGCCTCACGTTTGAGTTTCACCTAAGGCCCCATAAAGTCTAGAGCCACCTCTGACAATGCCAGTTCTCCCCTTTATGAATGGAGCATTACTATATCTTTTATCAGAATTTGTTAATTAGATAAACATTTAATTCTAGCTTACTCACAGCTTACAACAGCTAGCATGCATTAGGCACAAAGAGCGATACTACAGACATTTTATATATTTGTGAATCATCATGAATTAGCAGCAAGAAATATTCTTTTATTTTCAAAACATAATTAATAACAATATAGAAATTGACAGTAGCAGTAATTTCTGTTCTTCTTCCCGAAGCACACACAGTGTACTTTCTTTAAAATAGGGGTTCTCTGGAGCAACACAGGCTTGCACTACATGTGTGGGGAGCCATACACCTGGGATGCCATTTCTTTGAATCCCATGATTTGTTCCCTGTTTTCTTCACTGCTTGTGTCCTGGTCCTCCTCTGCACTTTCTAGGACCCTTTTCTTTCACGCTGTCTCTACAGAGGAGTTTAATACTATTATGTCTGAGTTCCTAGGGAGGATGGCTGATCCTTTCCAGGTTTCAGGGGCCGCAAGCAGACCACCTCTCCTACCCCCTCTTTAGTTCTCTCTGACTCTACCCTCTTTGCCATTATTCAGCCTGTGAAGAAGGATTCTGCTTCTCAAGAATCCACTCAGGAAGAAGACTTGTCTGTAGACATTTCTAACAAGCTCAACAACTGTTTCTGTTCTTGTAGATAAGGTGTGCACATGTTTACAGCTAGGGCTATTAGTGTGGACCATTTCAAAGGTCACAAGTCTGGGGTCCATTAAAATGCCTAAACCTCCAAAAACCTTCCCAGTTACATAGTGACATACTATTTGAGGTTGAATAAAGACATCAAGTCCAACCTATTGCTCATGTGTGCGTATGTTTAGGCCCATGTATCATCTCATTCTTAAGAGTACCCGTACCCCTGTATATTACGGTACCTCAGGAAATCGTCAAAAAGCTTCTTGAACGATTCCACACTCTTAGCTGAAATCACTGACGTTGGAAGTGAGTTCCAGACCCTAAACGCTCTTACTGTGAAGAACCCCCTTCGCCCCTTGTGCTGGAATATTCTTGCCACCAATTTTAGGTGGTGGCCTCTAGTTTTTGTAATGGAGTTAATCGTAAAGAGTTTGTTGCTAATGTTTCTGTCCACATTGAACATCTTGTTCAACTACGGCCACCCATGACGGTTGCATGGGGGGGCTGGCTTTTAATGGGTTTTTTTTGGTTTCCCAGTGCCCTCCTCTAGGTAACTACATAACCCATATTTTCAAAAATGACTTTATTCCTGTTTCCCTCCAAAAATGTCAAGAAAACAATTTTTATATTAAGTTTAAATATTTTTTTAATTGTTGTAACAAATTTTCAGTGTAAAGATGGAGTCCCGGTATCCCGGTATCGGTTTAGCTCTTCTGTTTGGTATGTTGGTGACAAAGCTCGATCTGTTGAAGAAGTGACTCCATCTTCTCTGAAAGCATATTGTATTTATCTGTGAAGAAAAAAATGTATTAACATTAGTTCATGAATTCAGAAAATGATAATATAGCTACAATTCCCACTATGGTGAGACTTAATTATATAAAGTAAGTGAAGTGATATAAAGGGGAGATATAAATCTAAAAATGATTGTGTGCTATTGTAAGTCTCTATACATGTAAAATGCCATCATTATCTTGCAGTTCCTCATAACGGCCAGAAGGGGGCAGAAAGGAGAATATATAATATCAACCCAGCTTACTCCCTGAGATTTATATCTTGTTCATGTACTTATCATAACCAGGACACCAAAGCACTTGTCAACAGATCGATGGAGCTGATGTCATGGAGCAGCCTGTCTGATGTTATATCTGGGGTGGTGGCATGCTTTTTATGCCACCGGAAGTGGCATGCTTTTTATTCCACCAGTGGCGGCATGCTTTTTATGCCACCAGTGCTGGCATGCATTTTATGCCACCTAAGGTGGCATGCTTTATATGCTACCATTTCCCTCCACCTATGGCAAACATAGGTAAATCTGGGAAAGAAAGATGGGTTGTCTAATGCTACCGGTGACCGTCACATTACTGATGGATCCTATGGTAATGCCAGACCAAAGTCGCTGATCTTGATCTGGCCGCCACTGCCCAGCAGAATATTTGCTGGTTTTAGATCTCTGTAAAGAGAGAGAGACAGTGAGCTGCGTTGTGTGTATTTACGACCTACAAACAGTATAGTCCTTGTCTAAGATACATTACCTGTGCACAACGCCTTTGCAATGCATAAAGCGAAGGCTACAGATACATTAACATTAGTTCATGATTTCAGAAAATGATAATATAGCTGCAATTCCCACTATGGTGAGACTTAATTATATAAAGTGAAAGTGAAGTCACCTAAAGGGGGAATATAAATCTAAAAATGATTGTGTGCTATTGTAAGTAAGTGCAGTTCCTCATAACCGCCAGAAGGGGGCAGAATGGAGAATATATACTATCAACCCAGCTTACTCCCTGAGATTTATATCTTGTTCATGTACTTACCATAACCAGGACACCAAAGCACTTGTCAACAGTTCGATGGAGCAGATGTCATGAAGCAGTCTGTCTGATGCTGTGTTTGGAGTGGCGGCATGCTTTTTATGCCACCATTGGCGGCATGCTTTTTATGCCACCATTGGCGGCATGCTTTTTATGCCACGGAGGCAAGATGCTTTTTATGCCGCCATTGGCTGCATGCTTTATATGCCACCGGCAGCAAGATGCTTTTTATGCCACCGGAGGCAAGATGGTATAAAAAGCATGCTGCCACCGGTGGCATA